GCTTTAATATTTTCTGTGTCGATTATTGACTCCCTTTGAGAATCTAGACTTTCTTCCTTTAAAAAATATACATATGCATGTACAATTTGTTTGTGCTAGTTCAGGTCAGAGGTTCCCTGATATTAATCTTTATATTTTGTACAGTCTCTATGCAATCCTATTAGAAAAAAATTAAATCAGGTTTTATCTCTAAATTAAAATGTAGCAGACAGTATTTGTTTAATTCATTTAATTCATTGCTGGTAAAAACAGACTTTCACGTGGTCTTAATTTATTTTCAGAATCAAAATCCTGGCTGTGCACTGTTGTTGTTGTTGTTATTTGTTTGTTTTTGTAAAAATGTGAGTTAGACTTTATGAAGGGTAGGTTTATAACTTTAAAGAGTCTGCATCTAGGCGACATGATTGAGAAGAAAGAAAACTGTACTCACAAGATAAGGATGGACAGGATGTCAAGCACACACTTGGAAAATTACAGGATAAACACAAGCCGACTGCAAGCTCAGCCTCTGGACTCCGAACACATCTCTCAACTGCACATCACCCTTCAGGGTGACTAGGGACTGTTAACACTGGATGCCATGAACTATAGAACTATAATGCCGTGTTAAGAAAAGGGGCCTTTAGTGCACATAGTGCCAATTTTTTTGATAATTGTTTCCAAAACATTCTGTAGTATTGAATCCATGTTTCCAGTGAAAAATTCAGAAGTCAAAGCAAAGGTCATGGCAGCTCTATGGCAGGTGAAATTGAGACTCTTTAATCAGGCTTGATGTGGACAATATGAAAGACATAAGACTGTGGGGCGTGGGAGGTTGGCAGCTTGGGGATGCTGTCCTAAGACAGTCCAGTGTTTGTGATGTTGTTCCTAAGACCTCAGTACAAACTATATTTGCATTTCTCCTTACAATTTTGCAAACTCTCCAAAGTGGCCTAGTAAATTCCTTTCTGAACAAAGGATATATTTTCCCCAACCAAGAACCATGATTTCCATGATTTCCATCACTAAACCTATGATTTAGTCTTCAGATTCCTGAAATTGTATCAATAGGTTTTGAGAACTATTTAAAAATCTGCAGATAGATGTGTTGCAAGATTTTTTCCCTAGGCACTTATAGAAATAGCAATAAAACAAACATGAGAGGAGATTAAGTCTGTTGATAATAGAAGGTAAAGATGGCAGATAATTAAATAAAAATTGAATTAAACTCTATAGACCATTTGACAAGGAGGTTAAAGATGAAAGAGTTGAGACACAGGAATGACAAGAAAATTGAGCCATGAAAGAGTTAAGAAAAAGACTGACAACGTTGCTCAGTTTTTCATTTCCACCCCTGAGCAGAATGAAGCCCCCTTTCAGTTTATGACCTTATTTGTTTTCAGCATGATTCCCTATTTCCACCTTAACTTTACCTACCTTGAATGAGCCTCAAAAACAATTAAACTCTAGATAAAAACAAACCACCACAGATGAAAGTGAGGAAAAAATATTTCCCCTGTCTTGTCCTTTCCATTCAACTTCCATTTGTTTATTTGCTCAATAATTCCATACAGACTATGTCAATACCATTGCCCATCAAATATTGCTAGCTGTATATTCTTCTAAAAGTCCTGAACACCATGCAATTCTTTCCTTTCATTAAGAAATTTTAATTAATTGTTTGTCCCAATGCCTGATTTGTCCAATATTTTCCAGTTTAATGTCCTATCTTATTCATTACTTTAGCCTTATGTATGTTTCAAACAATTATAGACAAATTTATTTTACCCTTCGAGAAAAATGAATTAAATTCAAGTTGGAAATAATAGGGAGAAAGGGAGTGTTTCAATTAAAAATAAATTCTCAGGTTTGAAGTGCATGAAATTGACTGTATTCAATGATGTGCTTACCATATGGAGAAGTCAGAGAAGGGATATTAAAGTTTTCATTTCCTCTTTTTTTTCTGGAAAAAGCATACTTATGACAATCATATAATATCAAACTACAAAGTAAACAATTCAGTGTGTAAAGCTGTGTAAAAATGTACATTAAATTGGAAACCAGGACTCTGAGATCTTACACAGGCAAAGACAATTAGGCTTCCTTAACCTTGCTTGATTTCCCAATATAAGCAAAAAAATTTGTGCTATTTCATATAAATGACTATATAGTATTTTAAAAATGAATGTAACCTTAATTATTCAGAAGGAACTCATGAATTTATAGAACTGGAGGCTTTCCAAAAGGATAGGCCAAATAAAGTAACTGTATAACTGTAATCAATTAAATATTTCTTTACATCTGTGTTAGTCCTATCAAAGCCTTGCCCTACATTTCCTTGGTGTAGACTTCCCCCCATGTCACACCAATTTACGTTTGCTCAAATAAGCTCCCCAATTTATGTTCGCTCACATAAGCTGCTTAAATGTTTTATTGTGTTACAGTTTAGCTTTTAAACCCAGGGATTACACTGTAAAGATCAGATCTATGGACATAAAATACAAGGTAAATGTAAAACAATTTTTGAATTGTGGAAAAACTGATGTTCTGCAAATTAGTAGAAACAGTGGGTTTGAGGGAAAAACTAGGATTTGGGAAGACTATTTATTATATAAATTGTAACCATAGCATTACCAAAAACAATAATAAAACTAATAAAAATGGAACCAAAATTTAATACTTCCTAGCTATTATCCTATGCCATAGTCAGTCGATCTTTACCTGCTTACACTTGGGATTTAGTGTTAGTTTCTTCCATCCATATGCAGAACCTGGAGGTGTTGGCCTAGACTAAAGCACATTTGCATCAAAATTAAAATCTCTCCCAGATTTTTCACAAATCTCTGTTTTAATTCAGGCAAAAGTCTTAATAGAATCTTCTGTATACACAGATCAGTCAGATATTTTTGTGCAGTGAAAAGTATAAAGTACTTAAGGAACCCTCAGTATAGATGTTCTCTTTTGTGTGTGTGTCTGGTATTGAGGAAAATTCTTGTAGCATTTGTCTAAGATTTGATTGCTTAAAACCTTAACATATTGGGGGGGGGGCTGACTTTCAAAACTTTCCTAACATCATTCTGCCATTTATTCATTGCTAATCTAGTCATTTGGTACAAAGAAATATGCACCATGATAGAATAGATTTGAGGCCAATGTTCCCTTAAGAGAACGGAAACAGAAAGCCAGAGGCCAGGAACTAAAACTTTAGAGATGCGGAGATCTCAATGAAGCTTTCCTTAGTAGTAACATTCAACACAGCAGTTAAAACTGAGAACTTGTGATGATGCTGACACAGACATAAAATAAATAAAAGTGCTTCCCATGCTCTCGTCAATTACACAGAGATTACTCTCCTTTCAGTTCTCTTCTTCATTCTATTCGTAAAAAGAAATACATAAAAAAGAAAACTTCACCAACTTGTTTCCACTTTCATCTTCATTTTACTCTGTGTATTCTCCAATGTTCTTTTCTGGTTATGATTTTGATTTCTAAAGGACTGTGCCCCACAGGGCCCTTGAATCATGGGTCTCAGATGTGCCTGCCTGCCTCCAGGGGAAACTTGAAATATATTCTGCCTTGGAGAACCTTTCCTTTAAACACACACACACACACACACACACACACACACACACACACACACACACTTCAATAGTCTTCTCCTTCCAAAAGAATTATAAATATTCAACATTGAATCTTATAAGCTAATGTAAAAATTTTAACATATTTGCTTTTGTATATGGACAATACTAAATAGACTTAAAGAATATTCTAATAATTTTCCAAAATTTCTTTCTTATTTTGAGACTTTACCAATATTCTCATTCAAAAGCAATCACTCAGAAGCCTCCAGGATGCTCTAGAACTCTGTGTATACCTCCCTGTCTTCCTCAACTCTCTGTACTTTATTTAATCAGGATATCATCTGTTTGCTTTACTTATTCTTGAACAGATCTTTCTAGCACTGCCCATATGATCTTACTGTGTGGAGTAGGGAGAACTGTTTTGCTGAGTATATGTCCCTAAGTCTCCACATACAGACCATTTACTCAAGTAAAAAACCTAAATATTTGGGAATTAATACAAAGGATTCAAACTGAAAACATTCAGTTGATGATAAATATTCACCATCAGGTTTTGTTAGAAGTTTAATATTTTCATTGTCCATTTTTATCACACGATTTTGCAATGTTATGAAAGTAAACAGTCATAAGTATAACTTAAAATGTATATTTAGCAAATATTATCTCTATAAATTTTTTTGGAATTATTCCAGCCTTCCTTAGGTAGCAAATTAGAATTTCATATAAATGTTCACCCCAAAACAAAGAAAAATACTTTCAATCTTCATATTTATTTGTTAAGAGGAATTTGTAGTTTTATGTTCAAAGAGCTTATTTCTCAGCTGAGTCCTAGATTGTTGGATTCTATATTTTTTACAATTTGTCTTGGATTAAAAGGTAACTGACATTATTTATACAGAAAAATTAACCTACTAGTCTCATTATCATACATGTGGGTTCACATTGTTGGGTGTGTATGTCTTCATGTCTGTGTGTGCACATATTGTTGAAAGTTACCATGAAAGTAATTTCGGCTTCTTTATATTCAAATCTTCTGCAGTTGAGGGAATCATAAATGTATTTTTTTTCTAGATTGGCTCCTTCTAGCATATAGCTAAATTCCAGCTAGCTTACTTTTTCAGTTCTTGAGATGTCATTTGGTAGACAAATAAATAAATTTATGAAATAAAAAATCAATTTTAATATTACCTTATGGAAAATTGAGAGAGAAAAATGACCTGGAGAAGTGATAGATGCATAGATTGATTGATACAGCTAGCTAGCTAGATAGATAGATAATTATCTTCTCTTTAACACTCTTAGCCTTACAATTTCTGTTAGTCTAAGTGAAGATCAAGTAGGCATGTGATCAGAGCTCCAGGCATGTGCCAAATTTATACCTGTGTTCTTGTACAGTCTTTAATTTATTCGATGTCTTCCTGTATGTAATACAAGTCTTACCTCATTCTGAAGGTCTCGAATCATTTTGCTTTTTCTTTCCACTTCAGTCTTTAAAAAATTAATCTGAAAATGAAAAGAATATCATGTAGATCCATCTATATTTATTTCCATGTCTTTCATATTTTTCATCATTTTAAATTATAATAGAAGGACTCTCCTTTTGCTATAAAACAATGAAAAAACAAAGAATTAAACTTTTCATTAACCAAAACTTTCATTATTCATTTCAAACATATATTCATTATGTAAGAATATTCTTTCTTGAGTAACACACCTTTTCTTTTTCATTGAGAAATCATCCACATAATAACCTTATTTCTTTAACCTGGCTAAACCTCATGTTTAAAAAATGACTCTTTAAAAAAAGAGAGAATTGGAGGGTTAGCCTACACATAAAACGTTCTCCAGGGAATTTTCTCCATAGCCAGATTTGAAAGCAACTTCATAGTGTTATTTCTCACCTCTGAAGTTTGGAGTGTTAAGTGTACATTATATCAAAGAAACCCTGATGTTTTCTCTTGGGTACATTGTCAGGATCTGTAACTTTAGGCCAGTTTTCCACACTGTTATGCGTAGACCTTGCAGCTTTATCTGCTCTTGGTATTACAAAGCAAAAGCAGTCATCTAGTGCAGTGGTGAGAGTTTGCATAGACTTTACATTCAATATAGTCACTGAGGTTTCACTATAATCAAACAGTATTCACGGTAGTGGATGGAACATTTAATTTTTCTATTTTTCAATTTTCTCACTCATATATTTGGAAAAATGAAAAATGCAGATAAAATTAATTTTCTCAATATATTTGATTCAACATATTCAAAATACTGCCTTTGTACATTCATTATTTTGGTTCTGTGTATTGAATCCATGGCTTCATGAAGCATGCTACTACTATGCAAGCATGCTACTACTGAGGTCCAGCTCCAGTCTAAATAGATCATTAATGATATAAATTTACATTCTTTTTAATATATCTTTGAAATTCAGTGTGCTTTACACTTACAGCACAATTCAGTTGGATTAGTCATAACTATGATGCTTAGTAGCTTGGTGTGTGAAAGATTTCTTCAGTGTAGAAAATGACTTGTAAGATAGGTTATTTCTCTGGACAGAGAGACTTTGGACCAGAAACCAAGCTTAGGGAAAGTATACAGATCTACTTGAACATGTTTATTTCTGAAACATTTCAAGCCCAAAGAAAATAATACCTAGTAATGTATAAAATGTTCACTGGGCTCACCCCAAGATGAAATTGATACAGCTGTTTTGTCCAACATTTTTCAGAACTTTTCACAGAAGTGTTTTACTGTTAAAGACTCACTGATGATGGCCAGGGGATTCCTGCACTTGATCTCTTCCAGAACGATGGCAGCTCTGACACCGTGTGAGAGCCTTTCACAACTGACACCAGGAGGAATGCTTCCCAAAGTCAACTAGAAGCCTACTACACCTGCTAGGACCCTGTCTTTTGTGGCTCGTGACCTTATCTGTCCTTCACATGGTACAGTGGACCCTTGACTTACGAACTCTTTCGATTCCTGCAGCCTGGTTGTAACTAAGTCAATACAGCTGAGATCTGGATGTTTACCTGGGCACACTCTATAGATAACAAGAGGCAGATGAATCACCCATTAACCTAATCAACCCAAGTTGTTCCTATGTCAGTCCCATTGTAACTCGAGGGTCCACTGTACTGAAACTCCAAACCAAACTATCTTGATGCTGATAGTGCAGTGCAGATGAAATAGAGTAACTTGAGAATCATTCTCTCCAATGTTTCAGCCATAATAATTTTCAGAGTAAGTTTGAACTGAGAGAATATGGAAACACTTGAGCTTCTTGTCCCATTTGGTAGAGTTCTAGTTAGATGAGAAAACGAAGGTATGAACTCGAAGAATATGACGCCATGTGAAGTGACATATGTTTGTAGGCTGACCACCTCCCAGGACAGATTTCGCACCCATTTCTACCAAAGCATTTTATTACTATCAGAAAATTTTGTAAGTTGTTGATTTTGTTTTAAGCGCTGAACTAGTGGATGCCATTTTAATTGTACCAATAAATTGCTTTTGAAGAGATAGCAAACCTTCACATATTGATACTATTCGGTAGAAGCTGGTCATAAATAAAAATTCACCACCCTGAAAACATATTGCATTGTCATCTCTGCGATTCTTTAAAAGTTAAACACAAATGTAAAAACTTGAGAATCTGAAGCTTAAATATTCAGAACCTAGGATGTATTCAGAATATTTTAAAATGTCGGCATTTTAAGACTATTGGTTTAGAATTCCAGCAAGTTTTAACATCCCTGGGGAAATACACATTCCTAGCAGATAGTCTGGAAATAATTCTTAAGACAAAGAAAATACAATGTATTTAACTTTCAACAAGAGGTAAGAACAGTAATTCTTTGTAATGAGAGTAAAAGCAGAAGGTAACTTTTGCTTCCAACTCTGTCTCACTTAGGATAAGTTATGCCACAAAAATTAACAATTTGTTGAGTGCATCTGGTGATCACTAATATTTATAATTATTCTGGTTATACCTGAGAATTCATGTTTCCCCACGATCTGCTGGGGTTTTTCATGATCCACATAGGTTCTAAAAATGTGCAACCCTATTATAGGATTAGAAATGAAAATAATTGTTCACTTCTTCATAAAGTGTATGTGGACACATAAGTGGGTGAAGACAGATTCATGGATTTTACAGTGTACTTATTCAGGAAAGTATCCTTACTGAGAAATGTATCTTCTTCTATATCTTTATAATTTAAAAGGAAACATTACCTTTATGCCTCATAGCACTTTACTTTGGACTTAACCAGCCTCAATGGTTATTTGTGACATCGTTTGCAAAAATAAAAAAAGGAATCTTTTATTTTTATGGAAATAGATTTAGTAATTTGATATTTAATCAAGAGTAATATAGAAATTATCTGGCATGAAATCTAAAATAGCACAATATTTGCAGAATTAAATCCAAAAACCCTCCCTCTTGATAGACAACAATGACAATTTCTTTTATCTTTCTTCTTTTTTCATACATGTTTGCAGTACATAATGATTAAATTCATCCTGAGGAGTTAGTAAATGTACATAACACAACTTCATTCCATTTTTTACATAAATGCCAATTAACATTATAGTCTTTCTAGCAGGCAAAATAATTAGTGAAAAATTTACAAAAATAAAAATGGTTAAACTACTTACTAACTGAATCTTAGTTAAGCTAGACTCTTCACATAGGAAGAAGAATCACATATTGTATTTGAGGCTTAACTCACATTTGCAAACTGTGAATTATTAAGAAGAAATTCCTATTCTCCTGGGTGTTCTGAGATGCATATGAAAGAAATGAAACATGCATAAATGTGTGTGTTATGTATTCACAAATATATTTCACTCTCATTTGTTTTAAAAGTTGTTGTCGTCTCTTTTTGGACTGAGTTACAGGATATGACTCCTTCAATTCAAACATAAAACCCACTTCTCCAAAGTGATTATTATGTTTTCTTTCACATGTAAATGTTTGTATTCACTGATGATAACACACAGCTTGTTAATACACTCATGAATTTACTTATTCAGGACTTTTACATCTAAATTCACCCCTAAAATAAATCCATGAGTGTTTTCAGGTCTTTCATTACTCATTGATTTTGGAATCCTAAATGGAAACATGTAAAACAAAAAGTTTTTGTTTTTGTTTTCTATTTTCCAGAAAAGACTTGCATATGATAGGAGTTAATTTGTAAAATTAACTTTATTTGAAAAATAGATGCAAATCACTGTTAAAACAAATTCCACACAAAGAATGTAAACATTCTGTATTGAAAAAATGTACAAAAAAAACAAAAACAGGAAAGGCATCAAGAAATGGGTGGAGGGGGTGGAAGAGAAAGGTGAAAAAGGAATTCAGATGTGTTATGTGCATGTACCAGCACCCACCAGGAATGTGAGCATTCTGTACTGAAAATATGTACTGCTAATAATAATAAAAAACTTCTGTTGAAACTTGGAAGAAAGGACTGTTTTTGATACAATAAAATTTCTAAACATAATGGCCTATTCAAATACTGTGTTTCATGTTTGAGAAGTTTTCGAATTTTATATTTAAAGTTTTGCATTTTCAAATTTTTAATGGACAGTTGCTCAGAATACTCTTATTAGTTTAAATCATGGAGATGGCTATTTCCCTTCTGTACTAAATATTTTATAAGTGGAGTCCTTTTATACCTTTTGAAGACTCTTTTATGTTTAAATTTATCATCTTTTGAAAAAACTAAATAAAAATTTCAAAGTTTTGTTTGCATATTTGCTGTTCCTCTCTCTCTCTTTCTCTCTCTCTCTCTCCTCCATTCTGTTTTGTTTCGTTTTGGTGCTGTGGATGAAACCCAAGGCCTTGCAGCTGCGGCACAAGTGTTATTCCACTCAGCTACACCCTGCAATTCCTGCCTACCTGCGTCATGTCTTCCTGTCTCTTGTCTGGCCTTCCTAATAAGTCTCTCTTTGCTTTTCCTACTGCATTTGCTATTTTGTGTTTTGATCAACTTGCTCAATTCTATTCTTTCTTTTACCTTTCCTAGACAAATATTTAAAGCAATCAGTTCCCCATGGAGCATTACCATGGCACGTGTTGTTTTCATTATTAATTTGTCCTAAATGTGTCTTAATGTGTTATCATTTCTTATGAATCCAAAGGTTATTTGAAAATAAGTTACAGATTTTCCAAACTGAAGAATTATTTCACATTATAAAATTACTAATTTTGCTACAATAATATTGAATTCATTGTCCTATATGGTATTAATATTATGTTATTTACATTCTTGAATTTATCAAACCTTAGCACCAGTACATATTGTATTTCTGTAACATTGGTGCAAATAACCTCTGTGTTTTCAGTAAATTTAGAAACTTTGTGGAGATTCCTCATACACACATGAAAGTGTAAGACTCCCAATTGTGTTTTCAAAATAGTAAGTGCGTGTTCTCACCTATCTCTCCTGTTATTACTACACTGACGGGTGACGAAGCTGCCTGGTAGGTTCAGACGTGCATGTGACAAGTTTATTTTCCCTTCCTTAAAATTTTGTTAGCATATGAAGCCTTTGCCTTTTACATCACGGTTCTTAAATTCTTTTGGCATATGAGCAATGGACATTGTTACCAGTTCATTTTCTTACCATGTGGTTTTGCAAATATATTATTATCTTGGTTATTTTAGATAAGCAATATTTTCAAATTTTAAATTTAACATGCTTGTGTATTTAATAATATTCTCTTGATTTTAACTATTGGCTTTTTTGTTTGTTTGTTTTGGGGGGGAGGGTATTAGAGATTGAACAACCAGAGTCATCAGTCACCTACATCCCTATCCATTTGTAATATATATATTTTTTCTTTTTAGAAACAGACTTGCTAAGTCCTTAACTTTCCCAGGCTGGGCTCAAATGTGTAATCCTCCTGCTTCAGCCTCTCAAACTGAAAGCAACCAAAGCTGCCCCTTTCTGCATCATAAGCCATCTTACGAAAGTCTCCTTGAAGTTGGTTACTTGTGATTATTTGGTGTCTGCTATGAGCCAGCACTCTACAAATGCATATAACTTTGGATTTTGTCATCAGATGAGGAAACAGAGAGGTACCTTTGCTAACATCCAAAGTGGAGTGAGATAAATTTGGTATTTCTTAACATCACCTATCTATATCAAGATTTCTATTTTTAATTTAAGGATTACACATTCAATGCAGATTCATCTTTTACATTTTATATTTCTAGTAAATATTACAGATGATATAATACACTCTAAAATATTATCTACTTTTTTACTCAAACATATGTACATAAAAATATAAATTTTCATAGACTTATCTAATTATATAATATATACAGACGAATGATTTTTAAATTATTTAAAAACTTGATAGAAAAAACAGAATTACAAATGTACAGTTAAGAAAATGCAAGTCACAGATAAAAGTTAATGAGCAGTTATTCATTTTATTTATTTATTTTTGGTACCAGGGATTGAACTCAGGTCCCTCCACTTGCAAGGCAGGAGGCAGAGCCACTGAGCTAGATCCCCGGTCCTATGAGCAGTTATTTATGATATGAAAGTGATGCAGTGCCATCACTGATGATTGGTCATTAAGTCTTATATCTGATTCCCATAAAGATAGCATAGCTCTGTCAGTTGCAGACAATTTGATATAATATTAAGAAGAGCTATTGGAAATCCATGAAGCCATACCAGGAATCGCTTAACAATATGACTTTGAATAGCAATGTCAGGAGAGTTGAGGAATTAGAAAAGTCTAGATAATGAACAATGGATATTATTTTCATCTGTTTTCAGATATTCATTCTTATGTTATCCTTGAGAACACTTAATGTGATGTTAACAGATAGAGTTTTAAAATGGTTAGAAATAAATAATAGTAATGATGATGATGATGATGATGACATATAATTTTGAGAAATAAAATGATACACTTATATGCACTCAGCGAAGAAATACTAGATATGAAATTAAAATGACAAGCCAGAGAGAAGTAGAATAATATTACCTTAGTGCATACTGTCTTCTAACACCAAATATAATTTTAAGGGAATTGCTTTTGTTGTTTTAAGGAGATTCAACCTTCTAAAAGAGATAAAAAAGGAAAACTGCCGAATTTAAAGAATTTGATCAAATCCAGAGTAAATTTTCCCCTAGGAATTTTAATGCAGAACCTCTTATTCCAAAATGTATGCTAAGTTGAGCTCCTATGGGGAGTTTCCAGTTGAGCAGAATACTTGGGGGAAAACGGAAACCCTGAAATCTCAATACTGAAGCCTAAGTACTCTCTAAAAGCATGCTGAGAAGGCAATGGTAACCTAGCCCGTCCTGCCTCCCTCTTCTTCCCAACTGAGCATTCAGTGCCCATGATGATTTTCACAACTGGGCATTTCGCCAGCTTTTTGGACTTTGCTCTTCAAAAGTTGAAGCTCTCTTCTTTTTGGATCTTAGTTTACATAATATATCGGAATGAACATGAGTTTGTGCTTGGTTCCTCTGCCTACCAGCAAGGTGAATGGAAGCTGGAAATTTACCTTCTCTGAATATTACTTTTCAGTAAAGAATAATAAGCAGCATATCTAGCTATGAAGATCTGAGAAAACAATATATGGAGTACTTCTATTCTGCTCTTACTACCAGCACTGTCATCACATTATGTTCTGGATCCAATAAAATACCAATTAAATGTGATTAGTCCAAACCTCCACATTGATTTCCATGGTAGCTGCACTAATTTACATTCCCACCTAAACTATGTAAAGGTTCCTTTTTCTCCATATTGTTGTGTTCAAAAGACCACACAGTAATTTTGAAAAAGCAAAGTGATGATTTCCCAGGCCCAGAGCAAAGGGACAAAGAAAAACACACTTACAGTTGCCTGGTGTTTCTCTGCTTTCTCAGATGTCTCTTTAAGTTGATTTTGCAAGGACTCCTGGAGAGACTTCATTTCTTCTCTAGTTTAGTACAAAATAAAGAGCAAAGGGGAGATAGAAGAAACATCATGCTATTATTCTCCATGTACTTTGCTATCTACCAATTTTATAAAGCAGCAGTTACCCAAAGAAGATATATCTAAATACTCCGGTAATAAAGGGCCTTGTCTCCCATACAGCACGCTCTATTTAAAGGAAATTGCTCTGCTCTTATGTTTTATAAGAATCTCACTGTGTGAATCAACTGTGAGCTACATAATGTGTTAAATCAAGTCAATTTATTAATTTGGGCTGAAAAGCTAATTTTGCTGAGAGCATGCCCGGGTGTGGACCTGCTGGTTGGGAAAAGTCACAACAGACTTGCTAATAGGATAAAATTACTGTTCCCTCCCAGTGCTGATAATTGATTAATCCTATAACATTGTGCTCTAGACATCCTTTCCAAGTCCTGAGCATTTTCATAATAGCAAGGGAAAAGAGACTTATTTCTAACTTGAGGGCCACCTCATCTAATGGGCATAATAAAAGGAAATATTATTACTCATATATACACATTGTGGCTCATTCTCACTAACATACAAATATATGAACTCTGTCTCCCTTGTTGAAAATAGAAATGTTTTCCTAAATTTGGTTGCCTCTTAAGGATTTAGAATTTACTTCTTTAAGACTGATATCATTATCTGCCTGTGCTTTATTTTACCACCAAAACTAACACTTGAAAAAAGGGCTAGATAGTAAATAAAGTTTTGTGCATGTGTACATATGTGCATGAACAAATTCTGGCTAAAGACACTTCCACAAAGGAAAGAGAATAAACCAGAAGGATGTTCTGACCTTGGCAGTGCTCAAACTAGCTCACTAGTTTAAAATTCTCAATCAAGTGACAGGAAATTAGTTCCAATAACTTGGGCCAGTGAAAAACCCTCCCAGACTCTTTCTTCTTCTGTAAAATGAGTATAATGATAGAATTAACAGCTAGACTTGTGGTTGGGCTTACAGGACACTGTGTAAACCAAACCTTTAGCATGATGCCAAGAAAGAATCACTTAACAAATGTTAGACCACTGCTGTAATGCCAAGCTGCTCTTTTGTCCCGGGGAAATTAATGGCACCCCAGATTTTCTACTCTAGGAATTCTTATGCCCCACCTGAAATGTCAAGAATTTGAGGGATCCTAAATGCCGGTAGAAATCAACTTGAACTTGGACAAAGCAAAATACAGTTAGCACTCATGATAACATGATTACAGTCAGTTTGATTTGTGGATGAATTGTGCTATGTTAATGATGCATTTACCATGTTTTGGCTTAAAGTGGATGCTAAGTTTCAGCAGCCACTACTGTTTCAAATCAATTTATCAAACTTGTTCCATATATGGACATTTATATTTAGAATTCTTTTATTATTTCTGATTTTTTTCACAAGGAGTATCCGTGGCATAATATTCTACAGAATAAATCTCTACATACCTGTAGTGTTAAGTATGCAAGTCGTTCCTAGAAACCTCTCATCAAAATATGACAACACATTATAGACAAAAAATTGATGACTAGAGAGGGAGTAGAATTGTACAGAAAGTTATTGTACCGCCTCTCCTGAGAGAGAAAGAGGAAGGGAAATAGGAAGGAAAGCAGGCAAGGATGGAGGGAGAAGGGAAGGACTGATGTAATTTTAGGCTAAATGCTCAAATATTCAACAAGCAAAATATAATTGAATTGTACTTCCAACTAAAAAAGTTATAGTACTATATTAAAAATTATTTTAAATTTAAGATTTTGGAATTAATTTTTTTTGGAGGGTACCGGGGATCAAACTCGGGACCTTGGGCTTTCAAGGCAGGCAGTGGCACCACTGAGCTAAATCCCCAGCAATTAATTTATTTATAATAGTGGGTATTATACCAGGGCCTTTACATTGACTTACATTTCCAGCTCAGTCTTTAATTTTTCATTTCAAGACAGGCTCCTATTAAGTTGCCCAGACTAGCACCAAGTTTCCCATCCTCCTGCCTCAGATTCCCAGACTGTTGGGTTTTCAGCCTTACACCATCATGTAGGGCTCATTTTTTGTTTTAAATAATGTATACAAAACATTTAACAAATAGCTAAATTACAAAATATATGCATTATATAGAGTTCCTCATACTGGTATTTAGAGGTATGTAAGTATTAATACGGAAGATAAAAAGTAAAATCCATTAACAAAAACTGGACAAGTGGAGCATTCTATACACTGGAATGGCAATGAATGTTGGCAGGGGTAATACAACAGTGGGCCTTCCATTATCTAATTCTCTCTATTTTTACTGCCTTCTTTTCACATATCTTCCAATGCTCAGGCTTTATGTAGACTACAATTTCATCTCACAGAACTGCAGTTTATGCCCCAGGTGAGAAGATTCCAGACTTGGTTCTACAGCACTTGCATGACTGTTAATCCCAACATACGACCTTGATGGAGGTAAGAGACATCTAAAAGGCCAGTAAAGTTCACTTCTGGTGTATCCGTGTGGGACGTGGAGGTGTGACTTCAGTGTCTATATCTGGTTCCTCAACCCTTCCTCTCTGGCACTCTTTCCCTCTGCTTCCTGACTGCCTAATTCTTCTGCAGTGATGATTTTCCCTGGGTGCCAGCTGACCATAAATGAAGTCTGAAACTGTGAGCTAAATGAACTTCACCTCCTTTAATTTGTGGTATCAAGTAGTTTGGGCCCAGCAACAGAAAAGCTGATTAACACAGAAAATTTGTAGCAGAGAAGTGGAGTCATCATTGTGACTACACCTAACCATTTGGTCCAGAATCCTTCACAAGTGGTTTGTGGAAGGAGCTTGGGAAGGTTGGGAGATTTGGGCTCAAGAACTGTAGAATGCTATAAAAAGATTGATGAGAGTTTCTGGTAGGAGGTGAGAAGACCACTGTTATGCTTTATATCTAGATGTCTCCAAGTGCCTCATGTGCTCGCAGGTTTTTGAAAGGTGACTGAATCATTGAGACCCTATAGCTAACTGTGAATTTAAGGGGTGGCACTAGGTTAGAAGTGGTGGATCACTGAGGGCCTGACTTGGAAGAGCACGTCTCCCGCCTTGATTCTTCCTTTTGCTCTGCTTCTTGGCTGCCATGGTGTGAGCAGCTTTCCTATATCCAAGCTGTTCTACCACACAGTTTCTACATTTGAGCCTACCAAAAATGGACTGAAATTTCTATAAATGTGAGACAAAATAAACATCTCCTCTTTTAAGTTGTGATTGTTCAATAGTTGTCCTGGTGATGAAAAAGTAAGTAAAATGACTGGAATGCTGAAAGAATGAAGACAGTAATGGCCAAGATCCAGAGGTTTCACTTTGAAACAAGAACTCCATTGGCAGTTGGACTAGAGGGCATTTGTGTTAAACTTTGGGAGGAAATATTTCTGCATTTTCCCTATGTCTTGAGACATTGTAGAAGGCTGGTATTAATTGATCTGGCAGAGAAACTATTAAGACAGTCCAAATTTTGGGTTGTGGCATTGGTGCTTCTGGCTGCCTTTACACAGAAAATTGTGAGCAAAAGCCAAAGCAGACAATTTTGAAAAACTTAAATTTGGCCCAAAACAAACCATGTGTTAAAATGTGGTAAAATGATGAGTTTAATGTTATTAAAAAGAAGCAAAGTACTTTGAACAGGGACAAGGAGAATAGTCCCTTCAGGGCATGTTAAGAATCATCAAGAACTCACCAACTGCAAGCTCAAGAATGAAAATTGTAAAAATTTGAATTGAGAATAGAGCATGTGGTACACCTGCCTTGTATAAAATTGATTCCCTGGTATTTGTTTAACCATATTCAGTCTAGGGACTCAGAGGCTGCTGCAACTACATTCTCAGGGGGCCTGGCTATTGACAGAGCTGGGAGAAGATCCTGCCATCCCCCAAGGTATACTGGTTTTGTGAACATGCAAAGTACAAGAGTATGGGGACGTAGGAGTCTTCCATACAGATTTCAAAGAGCGCAGTCAAGGAATCCCTTAAAGGGTAGGATTTGAAACTATGGGCATGAACATGAGGTGAATTCGAGGATCTGGAAGTCAGAAATGCAGGAACATGGGACATCTGCCTGGGAAAGCTACAAACTATGAGCAGAGACAGCCCAAAAGGAAGGCTTTGTGGGCTACAGCCAGCAAGACCTTAGTGGTGAGGGCTCCTGACCCATATGGAAGCCACATTTCACTACCACATCTCCTGGATGCTGCACATGAAGTAAAATGATCTAATATTGTCCTGTTTGCTTTCATTCTTGCATTGATCCAATTCTTTCGTATTCCTCTATTGCTCCCTTCTGGAATGGGCATGTTTACCCTGTTCATTGCATTTTGAGATAAAATGACTTGTAGTTTGAATTTTACTGAAGTTCATGGCTATGAGTTTGCCTTGAGTCTCAACAGAACCTTGGACTTGCACTTTTGAGAAATGCCAGAACCGTCGAGACCTTGAGGGGAAGGGAGATTATTGCATTTTGGTTGTTCCCAAGATAGTTATATCATATTAGGTGTGATTATTAATTCATTATTGTCTCTATTAAGTATGTTTTAAAGTGGTATGTCCAAGTGTCAAGTTGAGTAGGGGTGGATGTTGACGATTTATTGTGATATATCAACTTGACTGGATGAAGAGAAACACAGGAGATTAGTAAACCCAGTTCTGTGTGTCTGTGTGGTTCTTGAAGATGTGACCTCAGTACTATATTTGTTCTCCAGTCTCTTTTTTTCCTGGTCTGTTCCTTTGACCTGTTTCTCAGCCGCCATGGACTGTATAGCTTTGTTATGCCAGGTCTGTCTGTCATAATGTTGCTGTCTTGGAGCCAGCTAACCATGGACTGAACTCTCTGAAGCAATAAACCAAATAAATCTCCCCTCCTTTAAATTGTAATGTCAGGTAATTTGGTCCCAGTAACAGGAGAACTGACTAATATAACTTCACATCACCCAGTGGGATTTGACCAAACAATCTCTGGCAAATCTAGGGCCATATTTGCCACCAAATTGAAGCTCTAATCCTAATGATTTGGCCTCTACCTATAGAATGGTCCCCAGGGGCCACGCTTCTTCTACATGACTCCTAAGCTACTGGGCAGAATTCACTGGTTCAGATTTGGCCACCACAACAAAACAGAATCCATGTGACAACTGTGAAAGGTTATTCAACTGTTGATGTTTTGACATAGAAATGCATGGTATGTAAATGTTAAATGGTAGCCATTTCATTTCTCTTCCAAAGTATAAATATGAAATGTATATTCACAAACTTATTTACGGAAGAGTATCTAATATAATTATGAACTTAGGGGTAGAGAATTTGATATTATCCCTGTCATTTTTTTTTAGTTTTCTAGAACTACACTGCAAATTCTTTTAGGATACTTAATTTATAATTGTCTTCCAATAATCAACCCCTAAATACTGTAGAAAATAAATTATATTTCTCATTTTTTCTCCTATCAGGATGTTTTGTGTGGGTCTGTTCTTTTACTCCTGCAATGATATAATTTAAAGTCTCTTAACCAATCTGAGGAATCCTCTATGAATATGATCTATGCTGTATAAGCACTTACAAAAGCGTAATATTTAAGTCAACATATTTCTTCTTGACACCTCCAAACACATATGCTATACTCTGTCTCTGTTGGCAGAAATACACTGTCTGCTTATCTTTCCACATAGATGTACATGTCCACCACATATCCTCCGAGTTTGCTTAAAATCTAGTTCAGTTCCTCAAATAGGCTATGTAGTTTTCTCTTGGCTCGAGAGGAAAATTCTAACTGATTCTGTTTGTTGTAGTGGCCCAATCTGAATGAGTGAATTCTACCCAGTAGCTTAGGAGTCATACAGAAGAAGCGTGGACCCTGGGGACCATTCTATGGGTAAAGGCCAAATGGCAAGGATCTACAGACCTTGGTTCCAGAATTCATCGTGATTATCGAGAGTTGGATGTAGACCCAAAGTCCTCTTTGACACATTGCCCTTTTTCAGATTAGATAAGACTTCTCCATTTTCAAATAATTAATATTTTTGATATCCAGAGGTGATTTCAACTTATCTTTGCAAAAAGTTACCCTTTCACTGTTTATCAATAAACTTAAATTTGGAAATAAAATACTCAGTGTCCTACAAAGTCATGTAACTATGACTTTATATTTCATTTTTAAGTAAATAGCAAAAAATAACATATCAGATGCTATATCATTTTGAGAAGTTATCTATTGTTGGAATTGACCGAGTTTTTGTGTTGACCTTAATGGCATGCACAAAATATGTGTGCATTTAAAGCTTTCTAATTTGGATAAAACTTGGAAATTACAGTGCGAAAATATCTTTTACATTTCATCCTTTCACTGAAAGGCTGGTTCCATCATCTGGTATTTTGCACATGATGCCAAACCGTCGATGAGCTAAAAATTTTTCATGAAATTTCATCATATTTTTCCTGATTTGTCTGTTTTCACATTCTGAAATAGTCACTGAAACTTTTAAGAAAACATCAGCAAACTAAATGAATAGAGCTCCCTTATTCTCATCATGGGGCATGTTGTTGCCTCACTTGTGTCTCTTCTATGAAGAAGAAAGGTTGCATTTATTTTCTTTCATTCCCTGGTATTCATTGTTGAGATCACCCTGTCCTTATCTGTAAGTTATTTTTTTTCCTCACTCTGTCTGTATCTCTTTATTTCTACCCTAAGTGGGGTTCACTATAAAGTTCTTTTAATTATATCATCTCCTACTGAGATACCTAAAATGAATTCCTTGTTGTTCATCACTAAAGAGAGCTGTTTTTATCTTTGGTCCCATTCTGCATACAGCTTTATCATCTAATTTTCCCTAAATGTCTTCTTCAGTCAATACAACCCTCTTACTGGTACTGTATATACATTGTACATAGGTCATTTCTGTTTTGTTTTCTTTTATTAATTCTCCTTGTCTAAAGTGAAATAGTTTACAAAAAGTAGCTGTGTTTTATGTCTCTTGGTCTCCTGAGGAGTTTTGTCTTCTTTTCCTCACTTTTATTTTTTTTAAGAAACTGTATTTTTACTTTTCATTCTATCTGACTGAAGCTTATGTACTTTGACCAATATCTCCTCCACCATTTTCTTCAACCATGCCAGTCCTGGTAACCAGGGTTGTACCCACCACTCCTATGAGGTCAATTTCTTTAGATTCCACACAGAGGAGTAAGATCAAGCAAAAATTTACTATTTATTTCATGTAACATAATGTGCTATAGGCTCATCTATGCTGTCACAAATCCGAGGGTTTTGTTCATCTTTTATCTGAATTGAAAACCACTATTTCCTCTCAAAACAATGTTTATAATTCTCCATTCTGAACTCAACTAGCCACAAATATTTGGATTTTAATGTGAATAGGTGTTTTAAGAAGTGATAGATTTCAAGCTAATAAAATACTTTAAAGAATTTTTGGAAACATGCTCAGATCAATAATTTATTCAAACTCTGTTTAATCCTGGACTTTGAAGAAAATTTCATGTTCAAGAAATAATAAACATGTCACTATAAATAATTAAGAGTCAATTCTTGACACTAGGTTTGATCTTTTAACAGACATCATGGACATACTGTAAATGCATGTCACTGACAGGTTTCAGTTTCAGAGGGCCAGGCTAGGTCACTGGATGAGACAGAGGCTGATGAAGGCAACTTTTAATTGACTCCATAGAGCAATTTCTGCATCAATTTTTCACAGTTTGCTGCTTTGTGATCAGTGAGCCAATATGGAAAGATCCAGTTATTGAGTAAGAGAGCAATTAAAATCCAAATTAACATAAGTCTCAGAAACTCACGTGAACACTTTGATAAAAAATGTTTGATCTATTAAATGACACTTAATGTCTACTTTTACAAGGCACTTTTAAGGATGAAATTTTAAAAATGTATACAAATAAGATAGGTGAGCGTCTAGTGCATGCCTAGCAAACATTAGCTCGTGTCTGGCTTGAAATACCTTTTTAACAATTTTGCTTTAAAAATAATTTTAAAACTCAATAGCTTAATAATATACAAGTCAGCATTGATAATATATTAATGATTCTACTTGCATTCTTAATAGGATTGCCACCCTCCTTGACACGCCACCATTCATCATTGCTACGATCAAGTTTTGATGCTTTTCAACGTGACCCACTGAGGTCTATGGTATCAGAGCTTTGTACTGATGGCCACAATTCTCAGTGCTCCTCTTACTAACAAGGAAAGTATTCCTGACCATTAACATTCAACAGGCAAGGAACAGCAGCATCACCACCCCTAGGAGTTTGCTAGAAATGCAGAACCTTAAACCCCATCTTCAGTCTACTGTATAAGAATTTGCATTTAAACAACATTCCCAAGTGAATCATGTATATAATCCAGTGTAAGGAGATGAATGAATGCATGCATTTAGAATGAACAAATATTAATCAATTTGGGGGACATACTTGAATACAGTTGCAAGAGAAACTGAAGAGAAAAAAAGAAGTGAAAAGAAAGCATAGTCTTACCTTTGTTTCCGGCCCAATTCTAGAAGCTTCTGAACATCAGTTCTGGCAGACTGTTCATCATTCTTTAAAGACTGATAAAAAAAGTGGAAAAAGAAAGTCTTATTCTGGTGACAAAGTGAGGCTCATTTTGCTTGGTTCTGCACAGTGCAAGGTATGGCTTTCAGTGCATGTGATCTGGAAGAAGAATATAAAGGAAGCCAGATGGACCTCATGGAGCACAGGATGCACTTGGTAACTCCTTCCACTGAGTCCATGGCTTCATGGAGAGTGAAAGAGGTTGAGCTCGGCCTCGGCTTTTACAGGTTTTATGGAGGAGAAAATGCTCTCCAAATATCTAGGTCTTTTTAAGTGAATATAAAATATATCTTGCACACTGCCTCTGAAGTTTTACTTTGTTTTCCGCAGGCATGTTAAACTAGCTCTGACACAATTTCAGCAAATACAATGGGACATAAAAAGCCTCTCTGTAAGTGAAAAGAAAAACACAATTAAAGTTCAAAGCCATCAAAAAGGCATAAGCTTGTTTGCTCTTGCCTGTTTCTTATTTATGAGTAATGCATTACGGTACACAAAAATATGGCTGTGTGAAATGGTAACTGGTCTCTACAAGTAGGGTGTGAAGAAAAATATGTAACATCTTACTGATGAATGCTTATATATCCTGGCATATTCTGGACTCTGAAACCATTAATTAAAGTGCAAAACCCTCATGAGCTTTTTCTTATGAGAATCTGTCACATTAAATTTTCCCTGATAACTTTCTTATTTATATACAAAAAACTATTTAATAGAGTAACCTGTCATCTTGACACTACAAGTTGAAAGGGAGAGGCGATAATCATGTTTATGGAGCAGCAGTGACAGGGAGGGGAATGACAGTAGCAAAAAACAAAGGCTCTCTTTACTTAATATTTATTTCACAAATATCTACCATGAATTATACAAAGACCTATGAAAAGGCATAATGACACCCTCACAAATTTTTCAGTCTCCTGCTAAAAAGAGGTAACTTCAGTATAGTAAATGGATATCATTATATGGATGTGGTGGGTTGAACTTGACATGAAAAAGCTCTCTCTACAATGTCTGTCTGAGGTTGCATTAGGAAGAAGCCAATAAATAGTACTCTGTTTAGAGAGTAGATTCCCCCCCCCCAAATAGGAAGAAAGCAGAATGAAGAGAGGCATGGGAAGGAAGGTCATTATTGTGGTATTTAGAAACACCACAGTGCATCATGACCAAATAACTCCGGGCAGTTCACCTCTTCATCTAGGAAAAGGAGATGTAAATTTTAAAGGACCCAGAGACCCTGGACAGCTCAACTCAAAGAAGATTAAATAGATGTGTGAAAATACTGGGTGAAATGTGCAGTAAAAATGGGTTTATTTACTTAGTGACACTTTTGTAACCTGGGCATAGTTTAAGCATCAACAGGTTAAAAATTTAGAAGATTGTACTGAGGAAATTTCACATTAAGAAAATGAAGACAGGGGTCTGGGGATGTTAGTCAGCAGTCCAGAGGCTGTACTTGGCATAGCTGAGGCTTTGGATTTGATCCCCAGCATCAGAAAAACAAACAAGGTTGAGATGCAGAAATGCAGAGCATTTATTTGCAGATTTGGGTTAGCAAGACAGATCCAGTTGGTGGAGAAGTGGGGTATAATTCCCTGAAAATCACCTTTGTTCCATTAAGGACACCAATGTTTGATATACTAATTTGCCAATCTGATTTTAAACTCTGTTATATTATCGTCCTATTCAGGTGCTATGATTACAAAGATGGAAAAGACTTTCAAATGTGAACTTTTAAAACTCCTAGTATTTTCTTGAACTTCTATTTGAAAAAAAAATGTACAATGAGCTAAACAGTCATTTACTACAAATTTGAAACCTGAAATCACCATTTTTTGCATGTGAGTTTAAGCACCACGCGGGGCCTCTGGGAGACTTGCTCTCAGTCTTAATTATGTGAAGTGTTTGGTATGAAAATTTAATAAGATAGGGCTGGGGATTTAGCTCAGTGGTTCTGCCTCCTATCTCGCAGGCACAAGGTCCCGAGTTTGATCCCCGGTACCCCCCAGAAAAAAAATTTAATAAGATAAAAAATGAAAAATCATCTTGCCCAATGTTTGGTAGAAAATAAACAAAAGGCAGTTTTTATTTTTTGGGGGTACTGGGGCTCGAACTTGGGTCCTTCCGCTTGCTAGGCAGGCACCGGAACCACTAAGCTAAATCCCTGGCCCTCAAAAGGCATTTTTAAAACTCAGCTACCGTGAAGCGTATGATTGTTGCACTTTTGAAGCCTCATTAATTCATTATTATATTGTGTAGTTTGTAGCAAGATGCCATGACCTAGGCCACTGACACAGAGGCTGAGTGTCTTGGAACCCCAATACACCAGCCAGTGGATCATCGCACCACAAGCTTGCATTATTCTCAAGGTGCCGCGTGTTCTATGCCTCTGAGAACGTGTGCTGTCTGGAATATTTTTTCCCGGTTTTATTCACGTGGTGAATTTCCACTTAATAAAGTGCACCTGAGGCACTGGGTTCCCACAAAACTCAAAACCAATTTGCATCCCTTTTTATTCTAATCATTGTTTGCTTCATGATTTGTGCACACTTCCAGAACAGCTCTATTAGTCTTGTGCTGTTATCATTCCAGTCTGGTCTCTGTACCCTACTGGGTTGTGGGTGACTTTTTCCTCTTAGCTCTGTCTTCTGTGTTTTCAACAGGACTTCTCCAACCAGGGCTTCAGCGTTGGGTTCAAATACCAGCTCGGTGTCTCAAATAGCTCTGTGTACTTCATTTCCAAACCTTTTCATAACTCTGTCTTTTCATCTATGTGTTGACTTACAGCACAGTCACAATTGCATAATTTTCTTCTTGAGAAAATTAAATAGAAATGTTAGGAAGAGCACCCCATCCCTCATCACCCCACTTTTATCATCCTGAAAGGAAGGAACAGCAAGCAACAGAGAAAGGCAGGCAGTGGTAACTGAGCATGGCTGAAGGACACGGCCCAGTTCATCATAAAATAGAGAATGCTCTGGAACCATGCTGCAAGCTTTTAAATTCTGCCTTCCTCTTTGATTTCCAAAAGTAACTTATTTTATCTAAACTTGATAGTTTATGGCAAGGAAAATCTGACAAATAATACCCACTGTGTAATACAAAAAAACATTTTGTACATGACAGGGAGATTGATAAATTCAATCTTTAAATTTAAGTATTAAAACATTATCAGATATTGAGAGACTTCTACTATCTGAAATAGACCTAGTTTTGCAAAGGAGATTCCATTGTGTGAGTACATTTTCACAGATGACAGGCATTTACCCATTTCAGTAGTGAGATTTATTATAAAAATCTTCAGGGCTATTCTAGAGAGAATCTAAAATTCTCTTCTAGATACTATTCCTCCTATATTTATTTAAATACTGGTCTAATTGCTTTGCATCATTTTATAATAGAAAAAAAACTCCCAGCAGTCAAACTGATCTTAGAAGCTGTGAGGAACTGCTGGCTATGTCAAGCAAACAGTTTCCTCCTTGGTGTATTTGGAAATCTGAGATCCCTAGACTCCATTTCAAATGCCATGTCATTTCAAAGCTCATGTAATAACAAGGAAGAACTACCATGGTCAAGCCCAGAAATATATTAAAAAGTATTAAGATGCATATAAATCTAGTGAAGCCAATCAGGTGCCTATTCATCCATTGCTGTCGAGATCATTCATTTCCTTCTCACCTGAAGGTTGACTTTAATCCCATCCAGCTCCCGGGATGTCTTTGTGAGCTGGCGGAGGATGGTGCTTCTCTCCTTAAAGACTTCTTTCAGCTGCTTCTGGAGCTCCTCATAGTCCTGTCTAACACAGAAAGAACAGGCATGAGAGCCTTCCCAGAACTTCTGCTTTTTCTTCCGTCATAGTCAGTGACTCTCAGGTTTCTAGTGAAATGTACATAGAACTTCTATTATTAGGATGTTTTCTTAGTTTTTCAATATGAAGAGAAGAAATTAAAACAAAACAAAGATTTGTCGTTTTGATGAGAACTAAGATCTAGAGAGGTTCCAGGACAATACTGTAAAATTTCTATACATATAACAAGGTCTGCCAGATACTTTTTGGAAAATAGATATTTTTATAACAATGCTATACTTTTTTCCTCAAGTTTTTAAAATTTTAAGGCAGAAAAATCATTTGAAACATTGTACCTCAAAGACACTGACAGGTTGTGATATTGGGGAGCAAACTAAAGGGCAGACCTGAAACAGAAAGCAAGGGGTTTGTTTCTTTCCTAGTTCATAGGGAAGTAAAACCTACTGAGAAACCACCCTCAGCAAACATGTAGAGGAAACCCTATTACTATCTAAAAGGTAGAATAAATAAATGATACTGGAAAAAAATTTAAAAAATAAAAGGTAGCAGGAAAAGTAAAATCTCTGAGAAAAGTAGTCAAGAAATACAGTAATTATAGTGCATGTTGAAGAAAGAGATTAAGGTACACCTCTCAGGTGCTATTCGTGGAGAGAATAAGTAATGTGCACATATGTGCGTGTGTGTGTGTGTGTGTGTGTGTGTGTGCTCGCGCGCATGTTTGATAGTTAGGGAGGGAGCCGAGAGAGCAGATAATTTCCAATGTGTTTAAAAGTCTTTGATAGTGGAAGGTGACCGTGGTGAACTGAAACAGAGAAGAGCATCAAATTCAGGAAGGATCTCCTAGAATATGTAAGATGAATTTTAAAAGATAAATAGAAATTAGCCATATGCAGGGGGAAATACTGATACATACTAATGGAAAAGATGAATGCAGAAGGTGCGGAGCCTTAACTGAGAGGTGAAAGATCTGCCACAGAAATGAGGGTATGGCAAGTATGGGCAACACACTCAAGGCCACTGAGGGATGTCCAGGAGTTTGGGAAATGCTCTGAGGACAAGAGAACACATGGCAGAGTTTGAAGCAAGGGCTATTACGGTCGGATTAATGTTCTGGAAAGATTTCTGTATCTGAAATCTCAAGTGTGAATTGAATTGGGGAAAAAGAAGGTATTAAGAAAGTTAAGATTTCAATAGTCACAGCAAAAGGTCATAGTGGTTTAACTCCATCAGAAGCAGTGGGACTAGGCAAACTTGAATTGATTTCCACAAAATATGAAAAAATAAAATAGTTTCTTAAAAATTATTTTATTTTGTCTAAATGTGTGCTGGAAAAAAGTGGGAGGGAACTAGTTAATTAAAAAACCATCCTCTGGCTTAGGCCACTGTTGGACTTCAATGAGAGGAAAGTCATAGGAACAAAGTCTTTCTAGTGAAATGCACATTGACATGTTCAGTTGTAAATATGTAAGAAAGTAGAATAAGCTCAAAGCTTCGGTTTCCTCTTCTGGAAAATGTACCATTGACTTCACTCAAACGTAACATTGGCTTTGATCCATTGTTATGTCAAATTTAATAACATGTAAAGCTTTCATCTCATAGTAAATAATGAACTTACTATTAGAAAGTTCATTAAATTTTTCAGAATTTTATGATAATTCTGAAGAATTATAAAGAAACTTGGTCCACCAAGGTCTTTAGTAGTAATAATGCATCTCATGTAGAATGGACTTCCATTACAATTCCTCACTTTTTCTCACCTCCTCCAACCCTCTTCACCTTCTTGTTCAAAGTAAATTAGTGTGGCTTGCTGCTAAGACCTAGAATATTTCTTGCTGGCCTTGAGGTTTTCAGTGCCATGCAGTAATCTGTCAATTATCAGACAGCTGTTTTCAAAAAGCCCAGGTTTCCATTCACCCTCTAAATCTATTACTGATACTTAAATTTACCTTCCACAAATTTTTAAAACATATATGTTAATGAATATTTTCTTTATGAGAACTAGATTGTTCTTGCACATACAGTTCTTCTCCATTCCAATATAATTCCTCAAAAGTTTCTATATGGTTGTGAAAATTTATGTTATTGTTAAAATAATTAATTTCTGGATTTTTAAAACATTCATTTTCAACTGAATATTTCTGGTACATGATTTTACTTTAAGAAAATTATTATTTCTAATCAATTATTTGAAGAGTTGTGAATATTTTATGTTTACTCATATTATCTTCAAGAATGATAATTTCTCTTTTTTCTCTTCATTTATTATCAAGGATGGAGAACCTTTTCTACAGTATTCAGTAGACTGGTGATATGAACATCCTTGTCTCACTCTTTAGATTAGGGCTTCAATATTTACCACATATGTGCTAGTTATCACAGATGTACACTATCAATATTCTTTTTCTTTTATTCATTTATTTTCTTTAACTATAGAATCTAAAAAGTTATTTTCCTAGTTTCTTAATCATTTTGGTTTAACCAGGAATGGAACTGGAATGTTATCAAATTTATTGTGCCAGGTGTTATCATTTGCTTTTAATTCTTTCATTCTTTTCTTCCTTTGCTATGTTGCAAATAAAGGCAGATTTGCTTGGTTGTGCAGGCTCCAATTGAATGCTAGTGGACGTGATACGGTGGGGATTGCAATTGTTGTTTATATTGCTCAGCAGCCATGCGAGAGATTCTCTCAGATAACTGTTTTACTCCAGCCTTCTTCAAAACAAGAAATCAGGTAGAATAGGCCCAGCCTGACCCATACTTTGAAGCAGGAACATTCTCATTAACCTCTAAACTTCAGCGTGACACATGAATGCTTGTTATTGTAGGTCATTGGGCTTTTGCAGCAATTAAAATGTAGCAGTCCCTCAGGAAAAAAATAGGAAGAAAAATTGTTTAATAAATGCCTTAGCTAAAATGATCACTGACATTTTTCTTTTATACAGTTTTGTGGTAAACTACATCTATTCAACTTTCATTTATGATTAATGATTGCATAAATCAATCTCACATTATTGAAATAAATTTGCTGTATATTTCTCATCATATTGTTACAAAGCTTGATATCTATCTTATGCATAGCTCATGTGGTGAATTGAAAAACGTTTCCTTTTTTCCTATTATCTGCAAGAGTTTATGTATGATTGATGATCTTTCTTCTTTGAATGGAGGAACTGATAAGCAAGGTCCTGTGGCCTCCAATTTCCTTTGTGGGAAAATATTTGTTTAGATATTCAATGTTTAACTGATATTTCATATTGTGTAACTATTCAGATATCCTAACTTTTAAAAATTCAGCATCAGAGAATTAGTCAGCTTTCCTACAACTGGGGCCAAATAACTGACATTCACAATTTAAAGGAGAAGTTTAATTTCGCTCATGGGTTCAGATGAGTCAGTCCACGGTTGGATGGCTGCAAGGCAGAAACATCATGGTGGAAGGGCATGGTGGAGCAAAGCTGCACTTCTGGTGGTCAAGCAGCAGAACAAGAAAACTCTTCTAGAGTAGAAGGGGCCAGGGATAAGGTGTAGTTCCCAAGGTCACATGCCTCCATGACCAACCCAGATACCCATATGTGGACTTCACTAAGCCCCTGGGTGAGTCTCAACTAATTAAGTTGAAAATCCAGTGTAACCGTCACTATCAGTAACTGAGAATATTTTCCAATTTCATGATCATTCATTTAATTTATGATTCTTGGCTTAGTCAATTGGTATGAGCTGAATTGGACAGCTTTTATTTAATTAGGCTTACTCTTGTATCTGTGATCATTTCCTAGTTAACTAAATTACTGCTTGTCTGGTTGACTTGCTGCCAGTAAGTCTAAGACGTAGATTGGGCTATGTGTCTTTCTTTATCCATAAGCTAGCCTGGGTTTGTGTGTGTACCATTTGGTTAGGGAACTAAGAGAATTAGCAAAGCTAAAGTACCATATTTTAGGTGTAAGTTTGAACTGAGTGCAATTTCACGTGTACCATATTGTATTTGTCCCAAACATTTCACAAATCCAGGCTGGATTCAAGAGACAGAGATATATACTTCACTTAACCGATGGAGTAAACTTGAGAATCTGGTTATGAATGGAAATGAGAATAAGAAGAATCATGGTCACATAACCAATGTACTCCATAGCCCCAAATACTTATTTAACTACTTTGTATTTCATTTCTCAAAAATTGTCCTTTTGAATACTGCATTCTGCAGTGATGGTTTTTCAATGCTTCATAAAGGAATTTTATTTTACATTTTTGTTCAGTTTTTCCACTGGCTTTTGCAGGAAGCATTCAGCAAATAGATTGACAAGTTTGTCCAATTTCACTAAAATTGAACACTATCAAATCATTGTTTAATTATTTTCTTTATCTCTCAAAGATCATCAGTCATTCCCTCAAATTCCTTGAACCTGTATTTATTTTTCTGCAATTTCTACTGCTCAAGTTTCATCCATTTCCTCTTATATGCCCTGTGTTCAGTTAATCACTAAAGAGAATCTCTTGAAAGTATTTAAATATGTTATATCCATTTAAATATATATAAGTTAACTGGATCCGAGACTAAATTAATTTGTCAAATAAATACCTATTTAAATTTTCCCTAAAAATCGGTAAATTCCATCATGCTCTGCAGAGTTTTAAGCTTTTGATTTCACAAATCAAAATTTCCACATACATCAAGCCAATCTCAACCCCATGGTGCTAATCAAGGTTTTCCCCATTCTCTAGCTCTCTTTTAGGTGTTAGTAGTATACAATTTGCATATCTGTCTCAGTATAACACTGACATATTTGACTGCTGGAAAGTGGTCCAGTAAAGGCAGGGTCTTTCAGCTGGCAATGTTGGAAGAATGTAATTCTGAGCAGAAGGAACGATATGACTACTGCCAACATGGACAGGAAAGTCTTGAATGAAGATACATTATTAAACAGCAAGTAATATAGATTGGATACATGGTTCCCACTGGGCTATTTTGATTTTGTTTTCAATTATATTTC